AGATGTTTGTCACAGCAAGACACAATACCTTACATGCTTTTTCTATGAAAGTTTATGTATAGTTTTATCTGTAGGATGAATGCATCTGGCAATGATATTATGTTGTAACTTACTAAAAGCACACGTAGTGCAATCCAATACCAGTCTAAGCTGTTGAGACACTGGTATTCCTGTCTCCTTAAAGCTCCTATCTAATTGATAATTGGTGTTTTTTGTCTTTTTTTACTTGCATTGTTTTAGTCGTATTTTATATATTTATTGGACTATGAGTCCGGAATAAAGTCTGTCTATCACTTAAGTAATTAATATGTGTCATCTGGCATATGAGGCTCTCCCTTTGAGTTCATTATTTCTTTTCGGCTCAGTGCAATGTGACTGCTTAAATAAATCAAGGTTACAGGGTAAACAGCAGTATGTTTCACAGTGGTGTTTGTTATTGCTATCGTCCTTCCTCAAAAGCAGCAGGTCCATCAGGCTGGCTTCCTCAGCTTCACCAGACTCAAACCCCATCCCTAGCAGTATTGCACCATCCCCAGGTGCAGAATGGTAAAGGCTCTCACATGAGTACTTGCTGGTTTAAAACCTCACATGAAAGAACATGTAGAAGCCTGCCCTACAGAAATGTCATCCACCAAATCATTGTACTCTGTAGACATAAATCACCTTTTCTTTTTAAATGTTTTCATAGGTCACGTTTACACAAGCTGTTGGATGATTCGGGTGATTCCATGAAGGCTTCTTCAGCTTTATAGTTCGATTTGAAAGCATTAACATACTGCATATTTAAAAAGAGAAAGAAATACATGCAAGACATCCACCAAAACATGGTTCTCTTTTCCTCATTAGCATTAGCAACAAAAGATGCGGTTGCCCCCTTGTGTTCACAGCCAAGCACTGTTAGAATGAGCCAAGATTATTTATACCACTGGCTGTTTATTTTCAACCAGAAAAGTTTATGGTTTAATGGAAATAAAATGAGTTCAAGAAGGTGTATTTTCTTAGTTTGATTGTTTTTAGGCATACATTTTAAGGTTAAACTCATGATTATGAAAAATATGACTGTTAGAAACAGCAAAAAGAGTTTGATTGTTCTACCATATATATAACTTTACTGGCTTGTTGACTCCACATCCCCCATCTCTGATATTGTTCTACTTAAGTTTGCTTCCTGTACACTGTTTAGCTTTCTCTTATCTTGACCTTAAGCTGCTTCTGTATTAACCTCAATAAATCCCTTTCTCCCTTCCTGAACGCTCTTTTTTTCTTCCTTAGTGGTTCCTCCAGATCACTGATAATCCAAAGTTTAATACTGGGGAGCATTTCACTGTTCTGGTAGGGATGGTATTATCTACACAGAATTATGTGTATTCAGCCATACCCTTGCATTGCATTGATGTCCTCTCCGTGGAGCTGATAGTGCATTCCAGTCTGTAACCTTGTAGGGCTTCTTCAGCTTCCTGTGGCCGTCATTTTTGTTTTTTTTTTTTTTAGATGCATGTTTTCTATTACAGAGGAGTTTAAATTCTAATTATTCAAAATTTTAAAACATATTTTCAGGCAAGTTAGTGAATGTCCTGTCAATTCACCCAAATCTAGAATCCAAGTTAAGAGAAAAGGCTGAAAGACAAAATATATTGCAGTAAATTGTAAATAAATGGACAATTCATCACCTTTGAGGGAAGCACAGAGGCCTCAAATTATCATGTCTGTTAATATCTATTTGGATATGATCTCATGGAGATCATAAGTTAGGTGTTTCATTCTTTTTTATTTCAAACTAGATTCTCATTATCCTTAGAGAACATTCTTTTTCAGCAGTAATGTATGTTATATTGGCCAAATAGTATTTCATATAAAACTTTTTTCAGAGACATCATATAAGATAAACAACTCATGATCATTTATTTATACACTTATTTTTTTCAATTTCAAAACCATTAATGAAAACTTTCTTATCTGTACACTTGTTAATTTACATTATTCTTTAAAAAAAACAAAAAAAAAAAACAATATAGTTTGTTTTGGGTTCCTTTTTTGCTTTTCCTTAAAAATATATACCATGAGCCAGAAAACAACTTATAGGAGTAAAGAATTTTTTTTTGTCTTAGAAACAAAGAGCTTTTCTTTTCTTTACCAAAATTAAGATGAAAAGACAAATATTTAATAACATAATAACAGGAACTGTAAAGCTTTTACAAAGTTAAAAGTTATTACAATAAAAAATTTGCATAGCAAGTTAGTCATTAAAATTAGCAGTAAAAAAGCAATGGCCGTAAAAAAAAGTTTAAAGCACTTCGGCAATTTATAATCTCTTAAGGGCTATTGTACCGATAAAGCGAATTAACTTTAAATAGTGCATTTTATTTTGTTGAACTTGCAAAAAGAGTTTCTTTGACCTATAAAGGTATCCATGCTCACTGAATGTTGTATTGAAATTAACAGAACGGTTCAAATAAAACATAAAACGTGAGATATAAAACAAGGCCATTCAGCAATCTGTTGTCCTAAATTAGCAAAAAGAATTATATCCCAAGCTTCTGTACTTATTGCCCCTGTTGGGCAATGTCTCATTAACAGTATGAATTCATGATAAAATGATTCATATAAACACAAAAAATACTGTACAAAAATAAAAGGAAACGGCGCATTAATTTATCTGTTTACCCCCCAAAAAAAGCCCTGCTATATGATTTAATCAACAGATTTGGGCGAGTCATTGGACTTCTTCATGAGACTGAGAAGATTCTGGGACATGAAGTACGGCCTCTCAGCAGATCCATCGTTGCGTTCCAGATCCTCCACTGTTACACAAAGAAATAGAAATTCAACAATAATTTCTTGACCCTTATGTTGCAGTTTCTGTGAGAAGTTAACACATAAAGTTATTTTGGGCTGCCATTGATGTGTTCCAAGTATTTAGTTTAATCTAAACAAATAAAAAAAAATCAATCTAAACATGGCAAAAGCAGCTTGCTGAGTATCAGGATGCTGAAGGAGAGTGTATTTGTTTGACTTTGCATAGGGCACAGTTGTAAGTTCCAGAAGACATAGATTGAATTCACAGGCCAGCAAACTTTGAAAGAAGCTACAGCAGCAGAACACAGTGCCAGGTACATTTTCTAGACTGAGTGGTCATAGTTTTTGCAGTGATATCCAGTTGTAGGGTAAGAAAGCAGATCAATCCTGCCTTTTATCTACAGATACCAAGCATTATTTAAACCCCACAGCCTACCAGAGTGTTCTTACCACATCAATTTGTTGAAAAAGTACCAATCTTACCATAGCAGATTTTTGCAGAATAACACATGATGTCACAAAGCTTCAATGGTCTCAAACTGGTTTCAATGAAGTCAGTGCACCTCTTTGAGCTTCAGTCCCCAGATCTAAACCCAATGGAGCAAACATGGGTTGCTCCATTGGGTTTTAACGGCACCTGAACAAAGATCAAGCCAACATACATGCAGGTACTACGTGGCACTATGAGGGTGATCCAGTACTCGAGTTGAGGGGGGATGAGGGGAAATGGCACCCCCCTTCTTAAAATTATTATTTTTTTTAAATAATCCTTCTGAAACGACCATCCCCCTATACCAGTGGTCTCCAACCCTGGTCCTCAAGATCTACTGTCCTAGAGATTTTAGATGCATCCCTGCTTCAACACAGCTGAATCAAATGAATGGCTTGAAAAGGTAATCAATAATTTGATTCAGCTGTGTTGAAGCAGGGATGCATCTAAAATCTGTAGGACAGTGGATCTTGAGGACCAGGGTTGGAGACCACTGCCCTATACCATCCCTGTAACATGTTATTAGTGAATGTGTAAAATTTCTATATGTTAACAGTAATGGTAATAATTGTAATGATCTGGGTTCTGTTGTTTTTCTTTAAGTTTTCTGTTTCAAGTTTAGCCAGGTTTTTCATTGTTTTCTAGCTTTATTGGTGTGTCTGGATTCATTTAAGTTGCTTAGGTTTTTCTGTCTGTCCCCTGCTGCCTCCTTGTGTTCTATTCCCTTGGCTTCCTCGTCAGCTCTAATCACACCTGCTCCCTATCAGCTCATTAGCTCTACCTTTGTTCAGTCAGCCATAAATACACTCCCTCTGTAGTCCCTCTTTGCTGGTTCCTCGTCTTACCTTTCCTCACCCTGGCTCCTTGATGGTTTTCCCCTGATGTCTCCATGGTTCTGGTTTGTG